GTATGGGGTGTTAAAGAGTCTCTTGATACAATTATTCTCCCTTGTGCTGGATTTAATCTCGGGTTTTATTCATTATCTTCTTACAAGCAAATCTATAATGTAAAAAGCAAACAAACCACATAGCCTAGGTGTGTAATAGGCTATACCATTTAAGTTTGTGTTAGTACATTTTATGACGATCACATAACGATGAAATCGCCTAACGAAGCATTTCTCAATATGTATCCCCGTCGTTAAGCGACGCATGACTGTATTACCATTTTCTAGTTTCCCATTTCTACCAGATATTTGAAACAAAACCACCATGTAGTTGGCAACGCTATCGCCTCATACAATGAGTGTCCGTGGTTCAATTCCCAGTCGAGTAGAAATATTGGGACTGTTTCCTTACACCTGATATTCCTGTTCACCTTGCAGTAAGTAAGTACCTAGGTCTAGTGTGGGTGGCAACCTGGGAGACAAGATTCAAGGACCACGATTGAAATGTTTTCCTGGGAGGCTAACCCTGCTTTAACATTGTGCACAACTGCCTTTACTAAATAGTAGTCAAGTTTGTATAATCCAAGATTAGAATTATACAAGGCATTTCTATAAATAAGTACAATTATTATACCTATTAATATGTGTAAATTACCAAGGATAACCCCCCCCCCCCTTCAAAGAAAGTCAGAGTAACTTATTTTCATTGGGATCCTTGAATATGAAGGCTAGGACCCCGGGTGGTTTCCATCCACCGATCTTTATCAGAAAGAGAGGATACACTTATATTTCGTTACATAATGAAACTAATGGGTGAAGGTGGCCCCTAGCTCGGTTGGTATCACACTCAGATGACACAATGAGTGCCCTTAGTTCGATCCCAGGTACGGGTGGAAACACTGGGCATATTTCTTTACACCTGCTGTCCTTATTCACCTAGCAGTAAGTAGGTACCTGGGTGGTATCAGACTAGTTTGGGTCGCACCCTGGGTACGAAATGAACTTAATTTGTTTGAAATGCTCTGCAGAGCCAGGTTTTTTTTATATAGTATGTTACTGATGTCAGCTATGGTCTGTAAAAGCTGTATCATGTACATGTAAAAATAAAGATTATTATTATTATTATTAGTCTGCCTCTGGTAGATCTCAATTTCTCTGGTTTCGTTTTTAGGGTATACTGTGATAGATAACAAGTAGAAGTAACCCTATTCATATACAGCTGCATTTGAATATTGTCACACAAGATAAAATGTTGCAACTACCATACATAACAAAGAATAAAAGAGCACAATACCGTGACTGGAACATTACACAAATAACTCGCAACATATGCGTGAGGTACCTTGGTTAACCTGGTAGTAGTAGTAGTAGCAGGTAGTAATCTGCTACTAATCTCTCCTAGCTACTACTAGAGTCCCACACTCCTATCTGCGTGAGCAATATCATACCTATTCTTAAAGCTATGTATGGATCCTGCATCCACCACTTCGCTCTCCAGGTAGTTCCACCTCCTGACTACTCTGCGTCGAAAGAAATATTTCCTAATATCCCTGTGAGTCATAAGTGTTTTTATCTTCCAATTATGCCTTGTGGACCTCTTTCTCGCCTCTCGAACATTAAGTTCCTACCCACCCTATCAATTCCTCTCGGTATTTTTTACGTCATATCACATCTCGCCTAGTCGTGTCGTTTAATGTCATCAGGTTTAGCTCCACATAGTTCATACCTCTTACATCTGGGACTAGTTTTGTTGCAAACATCTGCATTATTTCCAGGTTTTCAACTTGCTTCCATACTGGTGCTGTATATTCAAAGCTGAGCCAGCTATATATCGTATGAATGTGAATTACTCTTTGCGGAAGTTCCTGAAAGGTAATTATACGCACATTTACTGTGCGTGTACTCCGTTTCTGGTAGTCTTCGTAATCTTTTCTCCTTCTGTGTGTATATGTGCGTAATATATATATATATATATATATATATATATATATATATATATATATATATATATATATATATATATATATATATATATATATATATATATATATATATATATTACGACATATATATAATATATAATATATATTATATATATATATATATATATATATATATATATATATATATAATATATATATATATATATATATATATATATATATATATATATATATATATATATATATATATATATATATGTATGTATATGTATATATATATATATATATATTATATATATATATATATATATATATATATATATATATATATATATATATATATATATATTGTCGTGCCGAATAGGCAGAACTTGCGATCTTGGCTTAAATAGCAACGCTCATCTTGCCATATAGGAAAAGTGAAAATTTGTGTATGCAATAATTTCGCAAAAATCATTCTAAACCTAACGAAAAAAAACATTTAATTGAGTTTGTTTTGTATTAAATTATTTTAAACGTATTTAAAATATATTTAGTAGGATAAGGCTAAAATAAATTGCGCTTCTTATAATAAGGTTAGGTAAGTTTTTCAAGATTCTTCTGGTGCAAAATTATAATTTTTTGCATTAACGTTAATGAAAAAAATATATCTATAAACGTATAAGAGAAATTTTTAGAAAGGACTTAATTTTAAATGAGTTCTTGCTAATTGACCAGTTTTACATATTCGGCACGACCATATATATATATATATATATATATATTATATATATATTATATATATATAATATATATATATATATATATATATATATATATATATATATATATATGCAATAAGATCACAGTAAACAGGTGATTTCAGAATATGCAAAACAGCCACTGTGAAAGAATAGAGAAATTCCAAGCGCTTTCGTGACTACTCACATTATCAAGGAACTATATAGCTCCTTGATAATGTGAGTAGTCACGAAAGCATTTGGAATTTCTCTATTCTTTCACAGTGGTTGTTTTGCATATATATATATATATATATATATATATATATAATATATATATATATATATATATATATATATATATATATATATATATATATATATATATATATATATGCAATAAGATCACAGTAAACAGGTGATTTCAGAATATGCAAAACAACCACTCTGAAAGAATAGAGAAATTCCAAGCGCTTTCGTGACTACTCACATTATCAAGGAACTATGATAATGTGAGTAGTCACGAAAGCGCTTGGAATTTCTCTATTCTTTCAGAGTGGTTGTTTTGCATATATATATATATATTATATATATATATATATATATATATATATATATATTATATATATATATTATATATATATATATATATATTATATATATATAATATATTATATATATATATATATATATATATATATATATATTATATATATATATATATTATATATATATATATATATATATAAACACAAGGGCTTTTTCCCACTGAGGCAGGGTGACTCAAAAAGGAAGAAACCCTTTTATCATCATTCACTCCATCACTGTCTTGCCAGAGGCGTGCCTACACTACAAGTAAAAAGCTGCACATTTTTCCTCTCCTTCCCAACAATTCCAGGAACAGCTTTAGAAAATTGACCACTGTCTGGAAAATCTTCCATCTCCTGCCCCAAACATCTTGCTGCCGGATGATTTCAACTCCTGATCTTCAACCAGTCTTCTTTGTACTGGACTGATGAAGTCACTGTGTGGTGAAACGTTTTCCTAGTAAAAATACCCAAGTGTTCCGCAAGTCACCGACTTTACAACAATGAGAGTTCAGATAGTAGACAATTCTCACGATGTCTTCTGTCTCACCACCAGATGTCTATTCCTCCCCTTAACTAACATACTTTGTTACGATAGTTTCCATCATTTGAAAGCACCAAACCGAGCGAATGTGATATATTTCTAATATCACTGTTACAAAAATGTTCTGAAACTTTCCACTGACGAATCACAGGTTTCAAGCTACACTTCCTGTCCGACTGGAAGGACTGGGCATGCATACGTTCTTTCTGATAGCCTTGTTACCGTCCTTCATTGCATACAATAAATAGGTGAAACAGTTTCTAAAAGAACATATAGATAATTTAGCAGGGCACCTAGCAACACTGGAATTACTAGACAGCCTTAACAAGACCAACCTAAACTATTCTACGAACAATCTTGCTGGGATAACCTCATCGAGATTTTTAAAGTGATGATTGAGAGTTCGAAATGAAGAGAGCCTGACTCTTTAACTGTGAGTTCATATCACACTGACGATTTTCTTTAGTATTTTATATCTCTGCGAACAGGCCCAAGTCATGGCCCACAGACACTCTGCATTGCAGTGGCTGTCAGCCTTGGTGCCCCAGTTCACAATGAGGGTAAGTTTACTTGTGGCATACTGGTAGCTGGCCAATACTGTCTGCATGGTCTTAACTGTACGAGCGCCTAAGGATGGCGAGCTAGTAACACTGCAGTCAACGAGATCTTGAAGAGTAGTCTTGCTACATATTGTTGCTACTGCTGCACTGTTGCTACTGCTACTGCTTCTACTGCTTCTGCTGCTGCTACTGTTGCTACTGCTGCTACTGTTACTGGTAATATTGCTATTACTGCTGCTACACCTACTCCTGCTGCTACTGCTGCTGCTACTACTGCTGCTATTGCTGCCACTGCTGCTGTTGCTGCTACTACTACTACTGCTGCTACTCCTACTACTGCTGCTACTCCTACTACTGCTGCTACTGCTGCTACTGCTGGAGTTTAAGTGGCTGCCTTATAGTATTGCTATTGCTGATATTTTTACTGTTACTACTACCTATTTTTATAGTTAAAAATACGAAAATTTTTTTTACTAAATGACGATCGTTGATAAAACCGTATATCATCAATATATTTTCAAATACTTCCCCGAAGGTAAGACCAATTTACTCTGTGATTTTCATCAAAGAGGCTGCTGTCAGCTACTTCTTAAAATTTATAAACAACAAATGTATGCAATAAGCAACTGTAAGGAAAAGTGTGGTGGAGACAAGGGATCAATACTCACCGTAGTTAAGGACGAGCAGCAGCAACAGCAGCAGCTGCAGCAGCAGCAGCTGGAGCTGCAGCTGGAGGCGATGGGCTGGCATGATGGTGGTAGTGGTGACCTCACTCACGCCAGCTTACATATCAATGTCTTTCGTTCAGTGTTTCAGACCTCTCTCCTCGCTCTCTTACTCTCGTTAACTCTACATAATGAACGACAAAAAGTGTCGTGGTTTCCGGTAACAATCACTCCTACTTTTATTATCGGAATTGACAGGCGGAGTTTTTCCCACCCCAAACTCTAAGTGAATTCAACTGTTTTTCGCTGCCTTCGAAGTGAAAGATTGCTTCTAAACAGAAAACTTGTCACTGGCGCTAATAGATGACTACTGTCACCGGCGCTAATAGATAACTATTGCCACTGGCGCTGATAGATGACTACTGTCACTGGCGCTAAGGCATACTATTTCTTGTCACTCTAACTACAAAGTAGTTAGTTGCTTTCACTGGCGCTAATGCATGACCTGTTCAAGACACTGGAACTAACGAGAAATGAGTCCTCATGCACTCACAAATGACTATGTATTGTCACTGGTACTAACAAATAACTAGTGTTGGTCATTAGTACCATTTGATGATGATCCGTCCTCGTTGCTGACCATTGAATGTATTCATTTTCATTACAATAACTTTTTTAAATCTGTATTCTTTACTGTTCTATAGACTTGCACAGGAATAGGAGAGACTTCCAGTGTAATTAATGACATTTAATAGTGTACTTTCTGTCGATCAGTGTAAGTTGCCATATTTCATTACTTTTATTAGTAACCACTGAATTTCATTTAATATTTATCGACAATTATAGATAGTAATGGCCTAAATTAAACATAAACATTCTGTGTCATGTGTAATAAACATTAGAAAGGTGACAGATCACGTAATGTGTACTAAGAGCTCGTGAATGACGTTTGACCTCCACTTAATAGCCTATAAAACATAACTAATTTTTGTATATCATTAGTATTCAACACCGACAAGATGATGAACAAGACACTTGTGCAACATCTGGGTATCTTTACTGGTAGACGTTTCTTCTTCCAGCTTTCATATCTCCATGTATGTATTGATAAAGTCACTGGATGACGAAACGTCTACAAGATACCCAGATGTTGCACAAATGTCTTATTCTTCCTCACTGATCTACCACTACCTTGTGCTACCTTCTCACTGTTATTGAATTATCTGCCAGAGTTATGACTTTTTATCATAATTTAACTATCATGAACAAGTTAATATATGATTCCTAATTTACGAGGATTTTTTGCATTCAAGTATTGATAAGGAAACTTTTAACAGATAAATAGCGAAAATATACTGGAACAGAATTTTTCGCTCCGTATATATCATATCTGGTAATGAATTTCTGTCATTAATGGAGACAAACAGGTTAGGAAGGTGAGAAGAATTGGTGTAAAACAGAGGAAGCCAGTAATAAATTGGGAGAGAGGGAGAGCAGTGATGATGAAGAGCAGGTGATAACTTTGCATATACATATATATAATATATATATATATATATATATATATATATATAATATATATATATATATATATATATATATATATATTAATATATAGTGAGAGAGAGAGAGAGAGAGAGAGAGAGAGAGAGAATGCGTAGTTACTAGTTGCCAATGGCACTTGTCAATAGATATTTGCCTTTTTTTTTCTTGGTAGATAAGACACATAGGCAAAATTTAGGCAACTTTATTCCGAAACGTTTCGCCTACACAGTAGGCTTCTTCAGTCGAGTACAGAAAGTAGGCGGGAGCAGTAGAGATGTGAAGACGATGTAATCAGTCCATCACCCTTGAAGTCGTAGAAATTGAGGTTGTCAGCCCCTCAGCCTGGAGAAGTTCAGTTCCATAGTCAGGAACTATCTGAAGATCAAGCGACAGTGTTGAGACTTAAATACTGTCGGAAGGAGAGGTGCAGAGTAGTAGTAGTGAGATTGTAGCCACTGAGAGGTCATGTCCCTCTCAGAACAAACGGTTCTCACTTGAAAAAGTTGTCCAAGGTGTTTTCTCTTCTGTACCAAGATGCCATTGTGTTGCAGTGTCTGACAGAGTGATTATCAAATGGTATACAATACCGACAGGTTGGTAGATAAGACACATAGGTAACATTTAGGCAACTTTATTCCGAAACGTTTCGCCTACACAGTAGGCTTCTTCAGTCGAGTACAGAAAGTAGGCGGGAGCAGTAGAGATAGTTCCTAACTATGGAACTGAACTTCTCCAGGCTGAGGGACTGACAACTTCAAATTCTACGACTTCAAGGGTGATGGACTGATTACATCGTCTTCACATCTCTGCTGCTCCTGCCTACTTTCTGTACTCGACTGAAGAAGCCTACTGTGTAGGCGAAACGTTTCGGAATAAAGTTGCCTGAATGTTGCCTATGTGTCTTATCTACCAACCTGTCGGTATTGTATACCATTTGATAATCACTTTTTTTCTTGGTGTGTGTGCTCACCTATATGTGATTGCAGGGGTTGATTCACAGCTCCCGGCTCCGCCTCTTTGTTAGCCGCTACAGGGCCACCCTCTCCCAGCTCAAAGAGCCTTATCATACCTCTTCTTAAAGCTGTGTGGGTGTGTGTAATTGTAAGAGTGACACTAACCGAGCGAAAGAGTAATAAATAAAATAATATCTTTTGAATAGATAACACACTTCTGACAGCATCCCAGCCTCTTGACCAACGTGCAGAGACGAAACGAGAGCCAGACACACACAGATAAAAAGAAAAATGGACGAGAGGCACAAAGGAAAGTTATAAAAAAGGACATTGAGAAAAAAAATCAAAGAGCAGGAGGTAGAGAGCTCATCTTAAAATAGTGAAGCATGAAAGTTAAGAGATGTAAGAGAGGAAAATAAAGAGTGAGGTGGAGAGGATGCAGGCAAACAGACGGTGATGGTGTAGTGAAGAAAAGCGAGGAGTACAGACAAAAAAGAATACTGCATAAAAAAACGGACATGGAAACAAGAAGCAGAAACAAAGGTAACATACAAAATAATCAAAGCAAAGAGAAAAATATAATATCCACATGTACAGAGAGAGAAAGAGCAACAAGAGAGAGAAAGAAGGAAAACAGTGATGAAACAGAGTGGGAACCATGCGAAGAGGAGCCGGATATAGTGAGAGATACTGAGCCAGATTTTACTGGGAGCGAA